AGTTCGAGTCCCCCCCATCCCACCACTTCCCCAGCCAAACCCCAGTGCCCCCGCCTTCCAACCACTTCCCCTGGCCTAATCATCTACCCACCCCGGTGCCCCCCCAATCGCCCACCTGCCATGTGCTCTCTCCACCCTTTCCCCTCTAGCTCGAATGTTTGCTGGGTCCTTTCACTCTGGGTGCAGGCAGCCTAGCTACTTTCTAAGCTACTATTGCCATGAAAGCCCTTTTTTAGTTCCTTTGACTTCCCCAGTTTCTAATAGCTCTGGTTTATCGCACACAACGAGGGGGTGGACAACAAGGCAGACAATGCGCAGAGCTGGAAGCCACCTTGCCTGGCTCCTCACACACTGACAATGCCTTTCAGGATTTAAAGTCAACCTTCTCCCATCTGACCCACCTAGCGGCAATTTCATCTGCACTGCGGGTCTCTGTGGCACGTTCCGCACTCGCTGCCGCTGCTGGCAGGGGAACAGCTCCCTTAGCGGCACAAGGTGCTGGGGCTTCTCCTCACCCCTCTACTAGACTGAGGGGAAGATCAGCTTAGAAACCCACTGAGAGGTAGAGCAATTTCCTGCACATCCTGGTTTAAGCTTCAACTCTCTTTGGTGCCCATTGTATTAACCGCAAAGCTTGTGCATCATTGTGAGCCTGATCTGCATGTGACCTCTCTGGGGCAGTGCGAGGTGAGACCTGGGAGTTCAAAAGATTATACCCCTGAGAACATGCCGGACAGGAAAGGACTTTGGGGACAATAAGCATGAAGTGGATTTTCTGGGGAATGCCTAGGGAGACGTTAATGCAAATTCCCCCACCTCCATTTAGGTCTTTGGAAGCCGTGCTCTGAGGAGCGGATCACTGCCTGCAGATGACCTGATCCCAGAGACAGGATCAAAGGCCTCTGCTGTAGAAGTAACAGCAGAACTGCCCAGCCCAGGTTCTGGTTCTGAGTCAGAGAGTCAAACCTCCACAGGGAAAACCAAGTTGTGGGGTTTGAAGGAAAGACACCTACCTTAGGCTGGAATTGGGGTGACCTCTGCTAAGCTTTTTACCATTCGTGTAAGCTCTTCTCTGGGTCTGACTAGGGCAATGCTTTTGCCTTAGGAATAAATGTACTTGCCTACGAAGAGCTGCGTGGTGACGGATCACTGCAGGCACTGCATTAGGCATAGCCTCTGGAGAGAAAGCAAAGTGCAGACACTGGCCGGCTTAGGCAACCTGGCTTGTTAGGAGTATCACTGGGCTGCCTGGAAAAAACCCCTGGTCAGGAGGGAGAGATGTGGGTCTCCGTTCAAGAGCTGTGGAGCCAGGGACTTCAGGTGCACTTGCCCTGAACTGTGACACCCCCACAGAGAGTATAAAAGCTCTCGCACTATTACTCTGAGGTAGGTGGCGAGACCTGTCACAGGGTGGCTGGGTCTTTAAGAGGAAGTTGGGCCCAGTCTCGCCTTGGATGGATCAACTACCTCCCTGCAGGGGACCAGATGATTATAAAAGCCAAAGGAGGCCATCTGGGAGAGAGTTGCAGCAGATATGGGGAGAAGGGTGGATGGTTTGCCCATGTGATAAGTCCTGGAGCAGGAGGGCTCCCCGGCAGGTTGCTTGGAGGAGCAAGGGGGCTGTGGCAAGAAACCGCTGGATCTGGGGAAAGGCAGCTGTTGGGTTTCCCTGGAGCTGTTGGACTTGGGGTTCTCTGGAGACTGTTGGGCAAAAGGGCCTAAACAGATTCTGGGCCTGGGGTGACTCCTTGCTGGGCAGGGGAGGCCAGCGGCCTGCAGCCGTTAGCTGACATGGCCCAGGTCTGAGTGTTGGGAGTGCAACACCCCAAGGTTTTAGCCCTGATGCCGGGTGTGCGGTTGGCACACTCGTTACGGTACGGAGCAGGGGAGCTGACAGCCACCCCGGGCTCCTGGGCAAGGTGGGAGGGCCCAGCCCCAAAATCCCAGAAGAGGTGAGGTCCTGAGCAAGAGAGGCAGGGCCAGGGGCAGCCATCTCTCAGCACTGCCTAGAGAGCACCGCGCCAGCCCTCCCCACACCCTTAGAGCCACCCTGGGCTCCAGCAGCTATTTAAAGAGCTCGGGGCTCTGGGTGCCGCTGCTGCTGCAATAGCAGCAACATCAGCTGGGAGCCCCGGGAGCGTTAGAATCACCAGGCCCTAGAGCAACTGTCCCGTTGGCTCCCTCCCTCCTGCCCCTCCTCCCCCATCAGCGGGCCTGGTATGAACCAGGCAGCCTGGAAATGCGCTGCAATCTCTCAGAGCCCCTACACAGGCTCTGTGCATCCCCATCTCCAGCCCCGGAGCCTCAGCGCTCGCATGCAGCAACACTTTGCGTCCCTGTAGCTTCTCACGGGCAGCTCTTAAAGCTCCTTACGGAGCCGAGCAAGAACCATCGCCTCCTTGTGGAAGATCAGGAAACTGAGGCACAAAGAGGGGAGGGACTTGGCCAAAATCAAGGACTCCCCATTCAGTGCCCTATCCCCTAGGCGATGCCGCGTCCTTGCTAGGTCAATACATCAGAGCCCCCCCACCCCGGGTAGAGCGAGTTGAAGATTTCCGCCAGACATTAGCCCTCCCCGCACACACGAGCAAAGGGTTAAATACAAGCACAGCTCCCCTTGTGTCCATCCCTTCCTCCTAGTGCCCTTTGTTCCTCAGGCTCTGGGTGCCCTTGATCATTATTTTAAATGATCTTCAGAAGTAATATTGCCTCCACTTTCCCATTGCCTCCCCCAGCTCCCGCCAGCCCGGGGCTGTCAGTTAGCGGTGCGCTGCTTGCCTTCCGGTTTATATTTAAAAAAAGAGAAACATATTTCACAGGCCGATAGGCACCTTCAGTTCCATCAACTCAAAGATTAAGCACCCGGGATAATAATAAAACATTTAAACATCGAGGGGGAAAAGGAGCTGTAAGTATTTTGGAGGAGGCAGAGGTTTAGGCAGCTAATCCCGTGCAATGATGACATGTGACAAAGCCCCATCTGGATTCCTGGGAACTTCATACCCAGGGGACTTAGCCAGCTAGCGCCAGCCCGGTGCATGCTCCCTGCTGAGAGTAGCCAGATACTTTCGAGGAAGAAATTCCAAAGTGGTGAGGCTGAGCTGGAGGGAGAGTTTCTTCTTAGCCTTGCCACTTAAAGGCCAGTGTGCGCACAAGAGGGATTCTCAGCCCACGTGGCCCAATTTGCACACAGCCCACATGCGGCCTAACTCAGATGTGCGCTAAAGGCTGCAGGCTGCTGCTGGCCCCACCGGGTGGGCTCAGGGCTCCCAACTGCTCCCATATGCACCAAGCTCCAGGCTGCCAGCCTCCTGCAACTGCTGCCCAATATTCCACAACAGGGCCCAGGATCTGGGCAGCCCCAGGCCTGGCCACCGCCAGCCCTGAGAAGCAGGGTCCAGGGTTCCAGTGGTGTCCTGGTCCAGCTACCCCCAGGCCTCAAGCAGTAGGGTCTGGGCAGGGTGAGGATCCTGGCTGCTCCCTGGCTCCAAGCAGCATGGTCAGAGTCTGGGCACCCAGTGGCCATCAGGCCCACACAGTGGGGTCCTGGCCAAGAACCTCTGGATTAAAGGCTCTTCCCCTCTATACAGAGCTAGAACCCACAACCCTCAGCCCAGGGGCCAGCGTCTGAGCCATTAGGTGAGAAATGAGGGCGAGGCAAAAGAAATCAGAATCTGAGCCTGCTGTCCTTGGGGCTGGCCAGCTCCAGGGTTTCTGTTCAAACTCTTCTCCAAAGCCCAGCTCCCTGCCCCCAGGGGTCACGCAGACAAACCAGCAAAGCTTCTGTGGCGGTTTCAGTGTGGGGAGATCTCTGGGTGATGGCACCTCCCCCCCACTTCAAGCAGTTCCAGGCGGGGAGCTGCTCTGGGCCATGTATTTGACCTAGAACAATGCTGGGCAGCAGGTGAACTTCAGAAAAGCCACCTGGTTTGCAATGGGAACAGGGGTGGGTCCTAAATTCCCAAGGGCCTCCAGGTTCCATGCCTGGATCCCCCTCTCGAACAGCAAGGAGCTACAAATGCAGCATTCCCCACTCACCCAGACCCTAGGCCAGGTCTCTCCCTCAGTGCTCAGTATGGGAATTCCCCAGCTGGAGGCTGCATTACATCTCCAGGGACCCGCCATCCCTGGTACACTTGGGGCTTAATGGGGGTCCCAAAGGCAGCAGCTGGCAGCACGATGCAATGCAGCTGCACTGCAGGGGAGCAACTGAGGGGCTCTGGATCTCCAGTGCCATCTCCCCTAACCCATTTCCTCCCCCCAGCTCCATGTGGCTCCCAAGGGAGGCCCATCCTGGGAAAGGGGGGCAGAGGCTCCCAGCCTGC